CCCCCCCCCCCCCCAACTTGCTGGGTATTTTCTAGCTTTTTTGTAGTCCTGTGTTTTTTTGCAAGGACCAGGCTTTTTCATGTGGGAGCTACCAAGTCCACAGTTTCTGCAAAAATCACAAAATATCTAATTTGGTAGGTCCTTATTCATGAGCACTTATTGTTTCTTTTCAGCATTGGAACATAGTCCCCAAAAGTTAACTTGCCTTCAAAAACATGAGATTCTTTTTTAAAAATACTGTTTTTCAAATTGCCTTACAGAACTGACACAGAACATGAAAAATAGCATTTAAAAAACAGATACTTTTACTAAATATTCACAATATCTAATTTTTCTTTACAACAGTGAGAACTAGAAATTTACATCTGTTTTAAATGAAAACTGGGACTTTTGAGTAATAAGCTGGTTCTAACAGCTTGAGCCCTAAGAAAGATACCACACATTCATGGTATTGCAAGACTTAGAAACAGCCTAAATATTTTTGCCTTTTTTTGTGTGACTCTACCCTCTATTACTCTTCTGCAATTTTTCCTTGGTTCAAGAAAAAAAACAAATTTTAAAGAGGATTTAAAAAGCATATGCTGCGAGACATGTTATGTTTGTAGCACTATATAGACCTTATAGCAATGAAAAGCTAACGTATGCATTCAGGGTGCCTATAGCAAAACAAAGATAGTGGGTCCATAACACAAAAGTTCCTGTTTCAAACAGGAACTTCTTCACAGTGCTACACAGAACATATGAACACTTATATGTAGTGCTGCCAGAAGCATCTCTTGGTCCCCCAGCATCCCACAGTACTCTGCTGCAGTTCTACTTCCCAAAGTGGCCGACAGAGCTACTGCTGCCCCAGGGGACCTGTGCATGGGAGCAGTGTAAAAAGCAGTAGCAGGAGAAAAGGCAATTACTGCTGAGAAGAACAGCAGCAGCAAGAGCTTTTAAATGCAGCCACAAGTAAGGGGATGAGGAGAATGGTTCTCCTTGGCCTCATAACCTGAAGAGGTATGGGAGTGCAAGAGGAAGGCTGTCTTTGACAGTTACTTGTCCTGGTTTGGTTCCAATCTGGGTCCTAGAGCAGCAGCTGACCCTCTCCCCAGTCAGGAGTAGCAGCAGTGTTAAATACATCACTGGAAGTGACTGAGCTTACTGACAGGCTCCTTTGGGGGAAGGGCAAAGCAAATGAGCCCTACTGCCCCCTGGCTTAAATTGGGATGCACTGTACTAAAATATCTAACTTAACTGCACCTTCATCTAATAAGGTCACAGGCAAAATTATGTTTATTTCATCATTGTGTTAACTGCAACATGCCACATGTGCAATCAATTTATCACATGACAATGGCAAACCAGACACAAAGATATTCCATAAAAACATCAGATGGTGCTTTAATTTGGATGTGTGGTCTGTTAAGTCTTGCCGTGCAGCACAGAACTGGTGCTGGGCAACAAGCAAAGACTGGCTTTGCTGTGGGCACTCTGCAGGGGGTTGGTTCCTGGTCTGGCCAGCAAACCAGCTCAGGTATACTCACCTGGCCTACAGGGCCAGATAAGTTTGACAGTCCTGCTCTAAAGATACTGCTTGCGGCAAAAAGTCTCCAGTCTAAGACAAGACATGTAAAACAAATGAGAGAATATACATGGCCACTTGAAGAAGAAATCCACATTCACATCATTTCAATTACTCCAAGCTCCAAGCCATTGCTTACCTTTATAATCTGTTCTAACTTGCTATAGTTTTGAAGGACTTAAGCTTATAGCGATCTTTAGTAGCATGAGTGGAATTTACATACATTACTACACTAACTGTAATAAAAATTTACTGCACAACCTCATCAGCTTCTATCAATTATTATGCAATTGTACAATATGAACGTACCAACTAAATTCAACTTCTTTTTGCAAGAATAAGACTTGCTGGCACAGAAGTCCATAAGTTCCCCTGGCACAGAAGTCCATAAGCTCCCCCCACCCAGCATCTTTTACATGAAGATGCAGTTAACCGAGTTGCATGTAGAGTCAGTTAGTTCAGGGAATCCCAATTTCAAATGGTTATGGAAATGCAGCAAAACTTCCAGTACACTATTTCTAAAAAGAGTAAAATGGCCTTCAAAAAGAAATAAAGGAAGTTACCATGAGTTGCGATTGCTAAAGATAATACAACACACTGAAAAATGTACTTTGTTGTACTTTGAAAACAACAGTAGTGGAAGGGTGATGGACTGGATGACGTCTGAGACAGAAAAAACATATTGCTTTCAATTCCATGAAGTTTTATGCCTCCTCCCACCCCATTTTTTTTTCTTGCTTTCATTCTTATTATTGCTAGTGATATATACCCACCATAGTGTAATCACTGATTACACTAAGTTCATCCTTAGAGTTTACACCTTTCAAGTACCCGTAAACTTCTGTCTTCTCCCATCAGCAGCACCTTGTCATCTCTTAGCTAAATTTGCAGCACTTAATTCCTTATCGACAGGACTTTATGTATCTAGTGTGATCATACCGTCATGTAAGTGACCTCATAATATATCATTTTAAAGGGTGTTGGCTAAGTGATCTGAAATTTAAACCTTTCTTTAACATAAATGGTTTAATTTTTAGGGTTGCTGAGATAAAAAGTTTTGGAAAAAATACATATACTGATTTAGCATTTTTTCTGCCAATATCTTTTACTGGGCCAACTTCATAGTTGGGAGGAATTTCAGACAAACTTCCAAGCACAAGGTACCCTTTCTCCAGACTTAGGTCAGGGGAAGGATTGAGGAAGGTTACTTTGTATCCAAAAGTTTTTTTTAAATTTGTCCCAATTATGCAGCTGGTCCTGTAGAAGATATAACCCAAAACAATCTTTGCTTCTCACACTTCCTGGATACCATCACTCCAACACTACCATTAACTTAGAAAAAGCAAGTTAAGCATGCTAATAGTCTATATACAAACGGAAGAGAGAATAAAAGGACACATTTTTACAAATTGCTTCTTCTCATCTGTTGAGGATTGGATTCCCAGTTTACAGAACAACTGTATCACTTGCGTCAGGCATGAAATGAAGTAAGAAATACTTGATTCAGATATCTTCTACTAACCAAAGCCATGTTTTCTAGTTTTTGAAAGATAATTTGTTCATGAGCATAGCTCGACCAATTCTACAAAGTCTAGGCCATAAATTACCCATGTAATTTATACGGGGTTCCCATCTGTGTAAAAAAAAAAAGGTAATAAGTCTTTAAAAGAAAACAGTCAACTGAATATCTTTACAGATATGATCTCTGAAAATCTGATTTAGATGATGAGAGGATCTTTTTGGTGAATGTTACTTACAACTACGACTCCATAACTAATTTGTTAATGATACTCATCTTACCCAGCTGAATCCAACATGGTTGTTTACGTGTGTAGAGGAGAACCGTGTTATCTATACTAATAAAACATTAATCAAGGGCCAAATTTATGGCAGGCACTCTATAAATGAGGTCAAGGAATGTCAGACACATAATCAGAAACAACTACAGAGTAGATCTTAGCACAGTAACTGAACACCTTCTTTACTTTTCTTTGGCCCTTGGGATCAAGACTGGTAGCAGAACATTCTTATCCACCTTGGAATTATATTCCTCTAGCCATAAACCCAAGCAAACTCAACCATAAAAGGTTTCATTATTTTTGAGAACCTCTGCAAATTTTAAAAGAAAAAATTTTAAATAGTTATTATCTCTATTCATTAATATTTCAAAGATTCTTTTCTATTGCATTATTTTCTATCATTTGACAGAAAAAGTTTATCCTCTTTTCATTCTGATTATGTCAACACATATCCTAATCTTACAAAGTTGATTTTTACTATGTTCTTCACTTGCTTTTGTTGTAAATTCAAGTTTTGTTTTGTTTTTAAATAGAAAAATGCCGTGTCATGATGCTCTCCAGTTAACTCATTAGGGCTTCTTAAGAAGCCTTCAGAGAAAGTAAAAGTTGCTCTTTGTCTGCTTTACTAATCAATTGCTAATGAAGGAAATATTGATAATTCTGATGAGTCAAGTCCGCAAGCCAAAGTTCACGGCCCTGTCCCCTGCTCTATCATTTCCAATAAATCTCAGTAATTTATATAGAGTTATTGATAGAACATTAAACCCTGGTGATAACGTTAAGAGGGTTTAGATTTTTTAAGCATTTGTAGTCATATATTACATTATCCACTTCAGTTCTACTGTATAATGAGTATGTGGAAGGTTGGCTGAATATAATATAAATTTTGGAGATAAAAATTAGAAATACTTGCACTTCAACCCAACTACACTGAAAGGATTAATAGGAATTATAGTGTCCATTATATGAGTCCAAATAGGAAGAAAGAAAATCTATAAACACATTGCTGATGCGGTATACTTAACATATCTACCAGAAGAACTAAGTTTCTATAAAAAAAAAATATTAAAATATTTAGACTAGCAAGAGTATTAAAGGGATGAAATACTTGTTTGCAAAACTTATACTGATTGACTAAAGAGACCTGCACTCCTGGTCGGTAATATAAGCAGGAGAAAGTATTAGTGACTACAGATTAAAAATCATGTGCCTCACAAAGTGCAGAAAGGTAAAATGAGAGAGCCATCAAATATTTTTACATAGTTACCTTCCCTCGTTGACAAGTTCAATAAAGGCTAGGCCTGCATTCTTCTGTATTGAGTTCTGCCACTCCTATAAAATTGAAGAGAAGGAAGAATAAATGAGTTGTGTAAAAAATTAAACAACAATATACCATTTCTAATCAAAATTATCAGACTATAATAAAGGCATTTTCTTTGTACTTTCAACAACTTCCATCTTCACCAATTACATTTTAAAACATCACATTGAATGCAATTTTAGAAGGAATCCACCATTAGTATGAAGAAATAATGAAATGGCACTAATTTAAAGTTAGTCACAAGTTCCCAGAAAGAACGTTAGACTGTCGCATTTTCTTCTTTTGACTCCAGTTTGTTTATTTGCCTCTTTAAAAATATGTCACACAAATTAAACAAGCAGGCCAGTGCCTACAGTTGTTACGTTTTGGGTCAGCAAAATTAGTTAATGTAGCCCAGGTATTTGCTACACTTCTTTCAGTTTAAATTTTAAGCCCTACATTTTCACATTCATTATGGTTTTCCTTACTGTTTAAGCTATTAATTTGACTATGTATTGGTTACACTGATGCCATCTCCTTACTTCCCAATCATAAGGCCATCTATCAAATCCCTTCTACATTTTCATGTCCTCTAGTATTAGATCATGGATACACACTTTCTTTTCAGATATCTGCCTCTATTAGAACTTCTTTTCTAATAGAGAAGTGCAACAGAAGTACACCATACTGTATATTCATCAGATCCACTGGGATCTTTAAGAGTAACAGAACTTCTCCCTATACACAGTGTGTGTTTTATTGAATGCTACCTGGTCCAGTATCACATGCTACCTTTAAACATTCCGTGAACAGAAGGAAGAGGGTTCTTTTTCTGCCAATAAATCCTTTAATGGCAGATAGATGCTCTGGTCTTACACATGCTTATCCAATCTCCATATCTAGCTTTCAAGATTTTTTTTTAAGTTTGGTACAATTAAAAATCATGTCTAGTTTTTATTTTGGTTCTCAAAGCCATGGTCACTCATGTCAGCACTACTATCTTGCCTTTTTCACCTCACCAATATTAATAATAAATCAATAAAAAAATGAAAAATTCTGAAGATTTCTTAAGATCAGTAGGATATTTTGAAGCACAGGATTTTTTCCACCTGATCAAGTCAGCAGGTGAAAAAAAGGTCACCTTATTTTGCCCTTTCATTTATTACAACAGCACACAAATTATAATTACATCATCTTTTTCAGTCAGTGGCTTACACATTAGATCACACAAAAATCAATAGCTCAGCATTGTTTTTTTTCTGCTTTAAGTATCAAGCAAGACAAAACATAAAGTATTTAGATTTCAAACTCCACTGCGTGTTTTATAGAACATATTTTAGCTGAGTCCTCATTTTGTTGCAACATGAGTGTCCTGAACACTTGTCAAGGTTACTATCTATAACATGACTAAACAGGTTATTTGCATCCTAAGTGCAATGACTGACACAGAAATCACAGGCAAAAACAGCATTCTGTCCAATTGTCAGAAGCTGGCATCAGACCATCCTGGAAGAGCCTAACAAGAAGCCCAAAACATCTCTATGTTTAAGACTACTGATCCAAAAAAAGAAGTTCCCCTACCTGCACTGAAGTAGGGGAAAATAGTTGCTACAAAATGGCAGCGCCTCATGAGATGACGCTGAAGGGCTTCAGGCAGCCCAGAGAAGAAAAGAACATGTTTCCCAGGGCAGCCACATTAGAGAGTAAAGAAAGTGGGGAAAAAGGGAAATAAATATTGGTTTGGACTTCTTCCTAAGGTTTAAATCAGCTAAGATACTCAAGAAACTCCAACTCTAGACAGGCCATTAAAGAAACGGAGGCGTCTAAAGTGTACACTACCATTTATTCCCTCAGGGCCAGGATACAAGGAGGAGTGGGACTCTAAGGTAGGGGTGCCAAACATACAGCCTGTGGAGCCATACAATTCAGCTAGTGGGTTTCTGGACAGGCTCTGGTCCTACACACTGCATACAATACACAGGCTAGACCTGCCACCACATACACTGCAGGCAACACAGGGCGTCAGTCTGGGTAACTGCATGCAGCCCATACCCAAGCCCCATGTGCAGCCCCATGTGCAGCACCAGGTCCAGCCCACATGCTGTGGGCAGTGTATGCCCAGTGTCAGCCCTGGGGTCCTTGTGCACAGGGAGCCCAGCAGCCAGCCACTCCAGTACGTGGCATGCAGGGCTAGACTGCCCATGTGTGCTGCACAGCAAAGGGCATGTGTTCCACGCAGCACTCCACCCAACAGCCCTGCGCACAGGTTCCAGGCTGGACAGGGCACCATACAGAGCAATCACCCTGGGCAGGTCCCCAGTACTATGTGCCATGCATGCAACATGCATAGGTCTCAGGGCTCACTGTGCACGTGGCCCTGGGGGCTGGCACAGGGCACATGCTGCCCATAACATGTGGGCTGAACCTAACAGTGCATGTGGCACAGTGGGTTCAGGGCATAGATTGCATGCAGTGCCCTGGACCGACCCCCTGGGCTGCCTGCAGCACTGGGTCCAGCTCATGCATCACTGGCAGCACGTACCCCATACCGGCTCTGGGGATTGGTGCGTGCAGGGCTTCATTCAGGACCCAGTGCTGTGGGCACTCTGCAGGGGGTTGCTCCTGGGCTGGCCAGCAAACCAGCTCAGGTATACTCACCTGGCCTACAGGGCCAGATAAGTTTGACAGTCCTGCTCTAAAGATACTGCTTGCGGCAAAAAGTCTCCAGTCTAAGACAAGACATGTAAAACAAATGAGAGAATATACATGGCCACTTGAAGAAGAAATCCACATTCACATCATTTCAATTACTCCAAGCTCCAAGCCATTGCTTACCTTTATAATCTGTTCTAACTTGCTATAGTTTTGAAGGACTTAAGTTTATAGTGATCTTTAGTAGCATGAGTGGAATTTACAGATATTACTACACTAACTGTAATAAAAATTTACTGCACAACCTCATCAGCTTCTATCAATTATTAAGCAATTGTATAATATAAATGTTCCAACTAAATTCAACTTGTTATTGCAAGAATCTTTCCTTTCTCCATCATACTATGCGCTAGCCTTCATGTGTTTTATAAACTTTGTTGTTATTGTTCCTACCTTCCTATCCACAGCTCTCATTACTGTCTTCTTATTGCCATCACTACACTGTTTCAAATTAGTCTAAGTATTTTTCAGTAGGTATTCTTCACTTTATTAGGAGATACCTGGCACCATTTGGGGTGTTGTTATTAATGAACAAAAGCACATCTGTAATTAACTCTAAAGCTTTTTCTACCTTAAATCACATATTAAATGTTTACCATTGTATAATAATGTATTAATATATGATGAAACTTGTGGAAAAACATATAATGGACTATAGCTCAAGGAAAGCAAATTAAAGATACATTGTGTTCTATGACAACATCCATCTGTTTCTTCATCCTAACAATGGCTTTTTCTTTTTCAGTAGCACTCACTACAATGCTTTAAAATCTAATTGGTGAAGATGGACATTGCCAGAAGTGAAAAGAAAAAGCATTTATCATGATGCATCTCAGCATTTTTCTACACATCACAGACAATTATCAAAGGCAGCATTAGTCTAAACAATTTCCTAAGCTACAGCTGAATGCACCCTACAGCTAGTTTTAATAGTTGAAAGAAAAGCTTAATGGTCATAGTCTTTCATGATCAATTCTATATTTCACCACACTACATACACCTCTACAACAATTACACTCTATGCATACTGCATTATTATATCAACATCTTAGTTATCCAACTCCCAAAGGTGTTGGTGAAAAACACGTTAAAAGCCTCAAACTCAACCACTAATGCAACTAAATAACTACAAAACACATTTCAGCACTTTAAAAAGGAATGACTGTAAGAACAGATCAACAAAGTCAATAATTTCATACCTGTCCTAGCTGTACCTAATTGCCCATCAGTTCCTATGGCTACCCCACTTCTACAGTGATGCAAGTTGCCAAGTTATGATTGCACAAATGCCAGTATAGTCTTTAAAATGCATGCCTAAAAATAATTCAGACAATGCAGACTCAAATGAATTTGGAAATAAATGGAAAACAAAAAGACAATGCATAAAATAAGAGGTCCTGGAGCTCTGAAAGCAGCAAAAATCCCTAATACCATATCTTTATATAAGGTGGGAAAAGTCCTGTCTAGCTCTAAGAGGAGATGCACTAAAAACCAAAGCACACTAGGAAATCCAACACAGATTCTACCAAACAATTTGGAGCCACTAAGATCAACCTACCCAGAAAATCTGGCGGACAGATGGGCAGAAACACCCAAGCCAAAGGCTCCCTTTGCCCTAATACATGATTTCCAGCAGGAGGGTAGAGCCACTCAGCCTCAAGGCAACTGGCAACTGTCAATCCCTTGCTGCCACATAGAAGAGCTACTCCTTGGGACTCTAAAAAACAGTTCACGTAGGAGATAAATGGATCCTCATCTTGCTCACTGCTTTTTGTTACTTTTTCCTTAAGAATAAGATGCTCTCCGGTTCTCTAAGTCAAGTATAACTACACATTTCCCTTAGGTAAAGTTGCCTTCAAGAGCCACAGATTGAGCATGAGTAAGCTATTCTTTACAAATGAAACAAGCCAAATGGTTTCCTTCATTTACACACATAAAATTGCCCATCTTGTTGATACTTCAGTATGGAGAACTATGTTTTGGTTCAAATTTACACTTAAGTCTACGAAATGCACAGACAGGATGATGCCACCCCTCCCGCCACATACACACTGTATAAGGAACATTATAGTTTAGAAAATGTTGTTTAATACATATGCTTTTTCCTTTGTAATTTCATCACACACATTCCAAGAACATTTCCTTTATGACAGTGATAAAATAAAGAAAAATCCAAATGTTATTTGAAACTAGTATGTACTGTATACAGAATGTGTACAATCAAAAGTAATATTAATACATTTCATTGTTACTTTTTTTAGAAGCAGGTATTCACAAATATTTCAATTAAAGGAACAAAATATTTCTATGTTATACAATA